ACTGTTGGCAGTGTGCTGCCTTCAGAGCTGGTGCCTGGCCAACAGCCACCGCTCTCCAGCCACCCAGCTCTGAAGGCAGCGCAGAAGGAAGGGTGGCAATACCACGACCCCCCTACAACTTCCTTTTGGGTCAAGACCCCCAATTTGAGAAACGCTGGTCTCCCCCATTAAATCTGTATAGCATAGGGTAAAAGCACATAAAAGACCAGATTTCACAGGGGGAGACCAGATTTCACGGTCCGTGACGTGTTTTTCATGGCCGTGAATTTGGTAAGGCCCTATTTATGCATATTAGTAACTGTTAACAGGATCTCAGAAGAGTGACTCACTACTGCAACCGCTGGAGAAAGCTGTTACCTCCAATCTGCACAAGGAGCGTTTGCATTAAGAGTATGTTTACACTGCAATGTAAACTCAGGGGTTGAACTAAGGCTCAAGCCTAACCCCCCTTCTGCCTACATAAAAATTGCGCTAATCCAAGGCACAGACCCAGGGTTCCAGTACCCCACAGGAATAGAGGGTCCAAGCCTGACTCAAGCCAAGACCCAGAGTTCAAGCCCTATTGCCCTGCAGTGTAGACACAATCCCACTGGCCTCATGCTCTGTAAGTCTGCCAAAAGTATCCCACAATCCCACGAACTGACTTTCTTTGTCCTCCGGACAATGACGTTTGGTGGACAGTCAAGTTTTCTCACACTGCACCACATTTTGGGAAGGCACTAGGAAGTCTGGGATATGGGTGGTTAGACACGGGCCCGCATAATGCAGTGGAGCTCCAGGGCTCAACAATTCCTAACCTGGGGTTACAAGTGAGTGTAGATGCTCAAACCCTATGTTAACAAACCCAGGGTCTGCTAACTTGAGTTATACTAACCTTGGGCTTACTCTGCTGTTAGATATACCCTAAGAGCCCGGCATGGATAACCACGTATAGCAGTGGTTTTCAAACTGTGGGTCGCAACCCAGTTCTGGGTTGCAGAATGGAAAGGACTGGGTCACGAGAGCTCTGGTCAGCACCACCGACCGGGCCGTTAAAAGTCCTGTTGGCAGTGCTGCCTGGCTAAGGTGGGCTAGTCCCAACCTATTCTGACACTGCGCTGCGCCCCAGAAGTGGCCAGCAGCAGGTCCAGCTCCTAGGCGGGGGGACACGGGGGT